TACGACATGTTAGTTACAATACTACTGATGTTTATGTACGACATGTTAGTTACAATACTACTGATGTTTATGTACAATATGTTAGTTACGATACAAAAATGGGAACATTGGCACCTTCCCTAGTGTATTTTATATTTAATGATAAAATTTCAATATTTTTGATTATATTTTTAAATACTGAATAAAACACTATAAATATGACTAAAAACACCTAGAAGCTACAAAATATTTCTTTTTTCTTTTATTTACTGAAAAAAAATGTGGATATTATAGTTATGCAAATACATTTTTGATTCTCACAAGTAAGTATAACTTTGAAAATTACTGTTCAGTTATTGAACTAAATAATAGAACTGTTATTGAAAATACTTACAACTATAAGACTTTTTTTCCTTTTAGTCATTGAACATTCATTTTGCATAACACCGAGGTAAATCTGTTTTCTGCCTTTATAAGTAAGCAGAACATATAAGTTGCATTTTATTTTCTATGGAATAGTTCCCTAATACATCACTGCATGCCTTGTGAAGTCTTTTTCACACTTAGTGCACCCCAGTCTGGTATTTTTCAAACACACACAACATCCGCCCCATGAGCAAGATTCAAGAAAGTGATCTATTTTGTCATACCTAACAGCCGTGGAAGGTGGTGCAGATGGACTTCTCTGTTGATGCCTTTCTTGTTGAACTTTTATCATAGCTCAGGCTACTTCTCTCCTAAACTGTAATATTTGAAGTAAGGTTAACATGCTGGTGGAACTGGCTAAAGGCAGCAACTACAGATAAGTTCAAGATATTTGAAAATATGCTCCACTACCACTTTTTTTTTAGTGCAGTCTTTGCCTGTATGATGACATTGCTGGTCACATACATCAACACCTCCCATTCCTTTGTTGTACATGTTGATGAGATATGGCTGTCTGAGTGTCTTCTTCTTTTCTTTCTTTACTCAACCTTCTGAACTGGGCTGACATCGTAGTACTTACTGGCAACAGTTACAATGCTATTGTCGTTCCACTTAGCACACAATACTATTACATCTGACCTAAAATCAAAAATCCTCTTTCCTGCTTTTCTATCTGCTACTTTGATACAAGAGGGCAGTGCCCAGTTTGATTCTTAAGGACAGTTCCACAATTTTAGAATTTAAATACATTGTTAAATTGTTGAAGGTTGACTTAAATACTAAAACATTCTTTAACGTTAAAACTTATGTACTGGAGAATGATCACACCAGTGACTGAAACGTTTTACCTGTTCCTTAAATACTGTAAAAGCATTAACTTTTAATAAAATATTTTTTCAAATAGAATTTGTAATCTATTGTTCCAGCGTCGACAATCTTAAAGATTGTTAGAAGTATGGGGTGGTTGTTATTCTTACTACAAGACTCAGATGGATAAGTTAGCTTATATCCGCTTCTGTCTGAAATTCCCATGTGTTCTTATGTGCATATTTGCATGTGATATGTAATTTTAACAATATAGGTAACTTTACAGCTGCCCTCAGCTAGAAACCAGGTTTCAATACTCATGATAAGCAGCTTTGTGCTTAACTTCAAACAACAACAATTATTTTACAGCTAACACAAATGTATTTGTATACGACCCCAGAGCGCATAGAGATGATTTTGAACATGCTTGTCATTCTAAGTGTTGACTTAAATACTAAAAGTAGCATAATTTGTGGGTAATAAATCTTGATTATTTTCAGATGTGAGTTTGAAACTTTCTTTGCTCATGAAAGAAGTAATAAGAACAAGCAGATATATCAAGACAACATGTTACTTTTCAACAGGTTCTATTTTATTTAATTCAAATGTTGGTGTGATAGAGTGTATAAGAAATTAGATGTTAGTCATTACTCTGTTTAGGAGATTTATTTCCATGAATGTTTTTACACAAGTTTTTTTTCAACTTTTAAAACTTTCTTTCATGTTTTCAAATATATATATTTCCATAAGTTTGGCATAGAACTACATATTGTTATTATTGTCATTAATATAGAAAAATACAACAATTATCTCTCTTCTTTCAACAACAGTTATTTATCTTATACTGTAGACATGTCATGTTGCTAAGAGTAAAACCTTAGAAACTAGAACAAGTAAGCTCAATTGTTCCTAGCTACTAAAAAGTGTCAAGCATATTATAAAATAATATTTTGTGAAAATGGTTTTTCTTTTTTAAAAGAACTGAAGGCCAATTTTTAATCAATAACAATCTGTACTTGCTGCTAGTTGTACAGAATGTTGTATTTGTGTGTCATAATATTTGCGACATTAGTGGTATAATTTTAATTTATACTCAGTGGATGGAAAAATCCCAACCACTTGCAAAAGTCTATATACTTTTTTGAACTGGTGTAAATAAGTGTTTTACACTCACAAAAAGAAACCTATCATTCTATAGGTATTTGAAGAACTTGTAGCATTCCGCTACAATTTAATTCTTCACATTGTTAGCCGACATTAGACAGCTGGTACATAATTAAATAGAGTTGTGTAAACATTTGTTTAACAACAAGTAAAAGCTTGGAATGGTCTATCCTTTCATTGGGGGTGTGTCTGTGAGCCAGACTAGTTTCGGAGAATTCCACTCCTCATCAGTGACCCTGGACTAGTCTGGCCCACAGACACACCCCCCAATGAAATAACAGACCATTCCAAGCTTTTACTTGTTGTTAAACAAATGTTTAAACAACTCTATTCAATTATGTACCAGCTGCCCAGTGTCGGCTAACAATGTGAAGAATTAAATTGTGGCAGAATGCTACAAGTTCTTCAAATACCTATAGAATGATAGGTTTCGTTTTCGTGAGTGCAAAACATTTAAATGCACCATTTCGATTTTTGATACCTCACTACTATAAAGGCTTGGTTTGATATTTCATTGGTGGTAGTGTCCAGGGTCACTGATGAGGAGTGGAATTCTCCGAAACTAGTCTGGCTCACAGACACACCCCCAATGAAAGAATAGACCATTCCAAGCTTTTACTTGTTGTTAAATAAATGTTTAAACAACTCTATTCAATTATATACTTTTTGTTTCTGACATGGCTATAGTGTCAGCTCCACTATATACAAAACTAAAAACATCAAATTACTTAAAACCTATGCTGAAAGACATGAAGCTCCTCAAATATTTCCAGTCTGCAGTTGTGCAGTTATTATGACTACACTTTTGTTTAAAATCCTGTGTTTAACATACACACGAAAAAATAACACAGGAAGAAAACAACTATAGCTGGAAACTGAAATCCTATCTCATCTTAGCTATGAATAAGAAATATCCTGACTTTGGGTAAATCATGAGACTTGATGAAACTTTTATATTTTTCTGAATAGAAAATTAGTGTTACATATTAGTTAATTCTTTTTTATTTTGCATGTTATAGAGTGTAGGTAAAGGTACTGTCTATAATTAATTAAGTGGGTTAATTTCTAGTAACACCACAAGTTTAAGATTAGTTTTACATATCACTCTCACAGGTCTGCTTTTTTTTTATAAATAATAAATGACAGTTTTAGTGTGAGAGACAATAAGTTGAAGTTAGATTTCCTTCTAATAGAACAATTTTTAATCTATTCCATATGTATGACTTTGAAATAACTATATATATTTGTATACTGTGCTCCTACCAGTACATTATATCTCACCAGAACAAGATTTATGTGTAACACTCTTTTGTTTATACCATTACTTTACTCATCTTCCTTGTATGTTTGACTCACACAGTTTTATATGTGATTGTTAAATTATTAGCAGCTTATATGATATGCTAAAATGCAGCATTATTTGCAAAACTTTAAACATTGTTTAGTGTGTAATACAGTAAATATTAAATTTTCAGTTTCTTACACAAAATACAATTCAACTTTTATTTTTTTTTTATAAATGTTGGGGACCTGATCACCAATTATATAAAAGTGTAATACAAAAAATGAAAAAATCTTTTGAGGCAGAAAAATGAAAGTTAGAAATTGAAGAAGTAACAAAGATGTAGAAAAGTATTCTTTGCTAATTAGCTCTTCCTAAACCCTTGAAATTCAATTTGTAATTTTTTTCTATGAATTACACATTTTTCTAGATAATAAAAATCTAACCTTAAAGAATGCTAAAGAACTGTTGTTACTTTAGTTCCTAACTCATGAAAAATTGTTTGAAGAACTTTGGTATTTAGTATTTTTATTAGATATGATTGCTGACAGAATCTTAAATCAGGAAAAAATATTCTGTCTTATTATTCTGTATAATTTTATTAAAGAATAAAATGTAAGTTAAATTTCAAACTTTGTTATTTTAGGTATAATGGAATA